AGCTCGCGGCGCCCGCCGCGCTGTCTCGCTGGGGCCCGACCAGCCCGACCAGCAGCCCGACGCACTGCACACCCGCCCATCAATCATCTGCTATCTCCCTTTCTCCCGTGGCCGGGCTCACCGGGCCGGGCTCTACGGGCCGCGGGGCGCCGCGAGGCGAGAGTGGTTCTCGAGTGAGACCGCCGCAGGACCACCGCAACCGCACCGCGGGCCGGGATAGAATAATTAGAAGGCCTAATTGTACTGCTTATATAATTTATCAGGGAAGAATAAAATAACTAGCCAGGATCTGCGGTACATACCCGCGACGCTAAGCAGTTCGCAAAAAGAGATTCATCTGAATCAGTAGATCGTTTAGAGATGTTGTGTAATCATGTATCGAGTTCTTTTCTGTTTTAGTTCTATGTAGGCAGTCTCCAGGACTGTCTCTGTCTCTAGTCTTGCCATCTTGAGTAAGTAACTTTTATTTTAGGTGTGAAAAATCACGCAGTTATTAATCTCCTGCTAGACTAATCAATTCAAGAGTTTTCGTTCTTTCAGAAACGGGCAGGCATTCAAACATAAAAGTACCTAGCCAAAACTTACATCAGTTTATACTACTCGAGGATACGCAGCCGAACGAGACCAGACGAGTGCTCGGGTTTTTTAAAATGCATGGTAGGTAGGGAATTTTATGTTATATGCTTATGAAATATTCAAAATTAGGACCCCGGATCGCCTTTTCGCCCCCAAAGACCGCCTTTCCGGGTAGCGCGTACCGCCATCTAGCGGCCAGAGAGTCGGGAAACACTGCGGCATCCAACAGCCCGGGCTCTTGTCTGGCCCAGCAGCCCAGCCCCAGCCCAGGCCAGGCAGGCTGAGCGCCGTCATTGCCTGCCACGCCACCGCCACGAGCAGAGCAAGTCAGTGTGCCTCCGGTTCTGGGTTTTGGTCACACTCAGGCCAAGCTCGAGTCAGCTCCTCAACCTCAACCCGTCTCACGTTCACCGCTAAGAAAGCCGAGGTAGGCTAGCCGACTCTGCGTGCAGTGCACACGCTGTGTTTCGTGTGTTTTAAAGTTTTGCACTAAGGTTAGGTCCCGCCGTGTTTTCAGTTTCCTTCTGTCCTGGACCGTGTGGAACCATGAACATGGAGCAGCTGCCGGACGACGTGCTGGTAATGGTGATGGAGTACGTGTCCGTGGGGGACGTCTTCGCCTGCCGCCTCGTGTGCAAGAGGTTCTGCGGCCTGGCCCTGCACCCAGACGTCTGGCGCCACCGATCGCTCCGGGACAACGACCCCCGCGCGGGCGCGGTGCTGCGCCTGGCCCCATGCCTCGACACGCTCACCGTCACGGGCCGAGTCAGGGCTGCCAGGTCCGGAGTGAGTCAAGTCGCCAGAAGAGGGCGCTCGAGTCGCCAATCGTCGCCAGCCGCCCAAGTCGCCAAAAATCGCCCGCCACAGATTCAAATCGCCAAAAATCGCCAACCTTTTAGTGGGATAGCCAAAAAAGAGGCAAGGTAAAATTGAACTCGGGTAGCACCCAAGAGTCAGCAAATGTGACAATGTAGCGAGCTGCTAGGCCCATTTCTTAGAAATCTATCTCCCCCGGGCTGGGAAAGTACTCAATCCCTTCGTAATCCTCGCTTTCGTGGGGTCAGGTAGCCCGAGTCGCCCAGGATCGCCAAACTTGGAGCTCAGTCGCCAAAAATCGCCAGGCCAAAACACGAATCGCCAAAAAAATCGCCTGGCGCCAGTCTGTCTTTTCAAGTCGCCAAACCCGACCTAAAATCGCCAATTTGGCGACAAATCGCCAAACCTGGCAGCTCTGGGCCGAGTCCCGACCCTGGCGGCGACAACGACCAGGTGCGCCGTAGCATGTTTGATTCTGCGGGCCCACTGTAAGGAGGCTTTCAACGCCGCGGAGTACGCCTTGGCCGTGCGCAACCAGGAACTCCTCGGGCGCCTCAGGAGGCTGGTGATGGACCTCGGGAGAGTTGTGAACGCGCTTATGAAGGTGTCGAAAGCCAACGTGCTGTACAGGACGGTTGCGTCGTGTTCCGGCCTCGAGTCGCTCAAATCCTTTGAAGAGCCAGACGACATCCTGGTGTTACATGGACCGCCCAGGTCGTCGCTCACGAACTTCTCGTACAGAGGCGGCGCAGATTCGGCCTGCTTCGTGAACTGCATACTGGCTGGACACGCGGATACCCTAGAGGATATAATTATGTCCACTGGTTCCGGCTCCACGGATACGACGACGGCAGACCTGATGGCCGCCCTGCCGAGACTCCGAAGTCTGCAATGCGACAATATGTTTCTCGGGTTAGAGGCCGTGGCGAAGTGCAAGACCCTTAGAGACGTGAGTATTGCTCTGTACAAGAACTTGGGTGAAATCGAGATGGTTGAAGACTTCCTTAGGGAAGCCAACCAACTACAACGTGTCCACCTGGTCTACTGTTCAGAAGACTACACCGTGGAGTACCTTGAGGCGCTGGTCGAGGCCATGGGGTCGTCCAGGCGGTCACGCGTCGAGCGGCTGTGCCTGGAGGACTTCGAGGACGTGCGGCCGCTGGTCCGCGCGCTGCCCTCGTTACCCGCACTGCGCCACCTGGACGTGACCAGTGCCCCGCTTGACGACGAGCTGCTCCTGAGCATCACCCCCGCCACGGCCCCGGCCCTGAGGAGGCTGGAGCTGGTGGTCGAGAGGGACACGTGCCCGCACGCCTGGATACACAGGGGCGCGGTCAGAGCGACACTCATCGCGAACACCTCGCTGCACATCCAGCTGTGCTGCCGCGTTGGAGACGAGTGCGACTGCGAGACATGCAGCGAGGGCTGCCATCGAGAGGTGAAGTGGGAGGAGGAGAACAAGATAGGCCTCTTCTCGCACGACCCTGACAAGTGCCCCTCTCCAGAGGACCACGCTGATGACATCGACTGGCAAAGGGACTACGCCTACGGCCACCCTGCCGGTGGCTCGTGTACATGGATGCATACGTGATGCATTTCTACAGCTGAATTGTAATGTTCCCTACCTTATGTTTGTTCTGTAAGCAATTATGATTACATGGAAAATACATTTTTATTTTGGTGATAGTATTATTTCATATTTTATTTATATCTTATTAACTTTCCCTTTGTCAATAATAGAATGTTTCACAAAAACAGTTAAATTTTATACAATTCAGGTTGGAAACGTGTAGCAACTCATGTTTATTTTCTAACGCGGTTGCCGTATCATTCATAGAAATGAGCATATAAACACAAAAACGGCATTTTGATAAGCTGTGAAACAAAATATACTTGGCGTGCACATGCAAGTGAATCAACATTACTTTGCATTTCTCAGTGTTTGGCTGGGTATTAGAATCCTGGAAAGTAGTGTTAACAGTAGAGAACATTGAACAATTAAAAGACCTCACCCAACAACATGCAAGCTTGGAGGGCAATTTAGGAACTCAAACTGAGACGCTAGTAGCTTGGTTTTCTGCCTAAAGAAACAAACGACATTGAAATTGTCTAATACACTGTAAAGGGAAAGCGGACCGTGGGAGTCGGTGGGCGTTTCAAGGCTGCGTCCCGACCAACACACGAAAAGCTGGTGTGAGCCGTTCCCCTTTCCTGGCACATTGCCGTGGTGGCGGGTGCGTTGCTTATTAGACGTGTGAATCTGGCTGGTCCACTGGACGGTAGCAAAATCGAGCAAACTGCGTTGAAAATGCACGGTGCAGCTAGAATGTCCGACCTAATTTTCTCCGACCTGGTGACTTTTCCAAAATCCCTAAGAGTGCTGTCCGACCTACTTTTCTCCGGCCTCGTCGATATTCTGATATTTGAGTAGAATGTGCTTTAAAGAGGAACAGGCTTCAAAAATAAAAAATAAAAATGGGGGAGTACTTTCCTCATCCCACCGCAGTAGTTAGCGAGGCAGGGCCCCCAGCCGACCTCTCACCAAAGTAACCCAAACAGGTATCCCTGGCCCTGCACCCGGACGTGGGGTTACTTTGGTGAGAGGTCGGCTGGGTCAGTATGGACCCAAAGTGTCGCACTGCAAAAGTTATCCCTGGCCCTGCACCCGGACGTTTGGCGCCACCGCTGAACCGGGAGAGAGGTGAGCTGGACTACCTTGTCGCTAAAAGAGCGATACAGCGGCTAAGTCCCGGCTGACCCCTCACGTAAGGAACCCCAAAAAAGTAATTGCCATCTTTTAATATGTTGTTCCCAGCACTTCAAAACGCACAAATAGGTATATGTTGTGTGAACAAAAAAAAATATTTCTTCACACTTACAATTTTTTTAGCAGTCAGCGACAGCGTAGAATCGATCGTTCCCTGGAGCGTCAGCCCGTATCTCGCCTCTACGGCTCAGTCGGTAGCGCGCCCGCTCGGAGCGCGGGAGGTCGGCGGTTCGATTCTCCGACGATCTGAAATTTTTCTCAGGCCACCAAATTGCGAATGGACTTCAAACCTGTCATTTCAACACGCCCCTCTCGTGGTGTTCCGATGGCGTAGTGGTTACCATTGTTGGTGGCACTGCGTCATAGGTGTCAATTAAGTGTCGGCTCTGGGCCGGGGTTCGCTCCCTGGTGCCTGGCACCTCGCTGTGGTAGCGGGGTGCATAATAACCCAGTCGACAAGCCTTAGTCCTAAACACATCCCGGGTACGACCTAGTTGGGACGCGGGATGTCCCAGCTGGGAGGTCCCATGCGACTCCAGTCTGGCCCTGAGCAAGTGATGGGGACATCCCACCAGGACCTCCCATTGAGACACTCGTGGGAGCTCCTGATAACCATGTTTCAAGAATGTTCTCAGCTACTCCTCCCGGTAGTGAGTATTATAGGAC